CGGGCCACCTTTTATACCCTACGAGACTGAATTTTGCTTCCGAGTTTTTGGCCGCCACCATGCGCGGCCTAGCGGCGGTCGGTGAACTACTCAGAATTTACTAAAATTCATAAGTTCGGAAGTGTTTGATTCATAAGTGTGTAATCAGTAAGTGTTTGAAATATAAATCTGTTTGATTTTCTAGTAATCAAACATAAATTGTGTTTTATTTTGATTCCGTTTGAAAATCATACGTATATATCTGTTTAATTTGACTAGTGCTTGGTTGTAGCATCACAATATTATAAGATTCTGCAATGTTTGATACAAAAGTGTTTGAAAGTCAATCACTTTTATGTATAAGTGTTTGAAATTCAAACGTTTTTCCAATTGTGTTTGATAAATCAAACATGTTTCTTGCTTAAGTGTTTATAATTCAAACATTTCTGATGACCCTATTCTTAGAGTGCGGGAATAAAGGATAGCGCGATTTTCCCAGGGGTATATAAATCGAACGGGGGATGCAGGCTACGGCGACGAGGGAAGACGGATGGCTAGACGGATAGATCGACGTCGAAGGCCCAAAAGAGGAGCGAGGGGGAGAGAGTGGCGACGGCGATGAAGGCGCAGACTATGGCGCCGAAGTCAGGGGTTGATGTTTTAAGCGATGTAAGTTACAGGCGCTACGAATAGCGGTCTCGGGCGCAGATTAGTCGTAATCTGGGTACATTGCACTCTGCAGCGTCTCCATTCTCTCTCCTCCCCCCCTCTCTCTCTTCGTCTTTCCTCCTGTCTTTCTCTAGCTCCTCTGTTAATGAACGCGTCTCTCTCCCTCTCTGTCTTTTCTCTCTACCTCAATGTACGCTCTACACAGTGTATCCCTCGGTCGTACGTTCTCATACACTCGAACATCGACTTGGGACGACCCCGTCGATGCAGACGTATCCCAACTCGGATAGACGCTATCGTCGCCCGCTTGATTATTTCCCGGCCACTTCGACAGGAGAAGATTCTCCAGTGCTCATCCCCGTCGCCGCTGGCTTTGTAACCGCGAGATTACCACGATCGCGACAAATGTTATACCGGGACAACGGACTTACGGGATCTTCACCGAAGTGGAATTTCCCTATTATCCGTTTCATCATTTCGAATTTGATCTTCTCCCGGACTGCGTTGGGATCCGGCGTGTATTGGATATGGAAAAATTGAAAGATTTATGGGTCCGCAAAAAGCGACGAGGTCGGTAAAAAAGTTACGCGATATTTGGTACAATTCAATTCGAAATTGCTGCCGAAAGACACTCTTGATACGCGGCGCTTCGCGGTTTCGCCCGCGACGCAATTCATAGAAAAGCACCGTGTTTATCTCGGAAGAGGCGTAGGTCGAGAGCCTCAAAAATTACCGCGTGCGCGATAACTATAGCAACAGTCCGAGATATCGAACAAACCGCGCATCGCCTGGGCCGGATTCAGTATCGGGGATTGCGTTAGCCGTGCGAAAAATATCCGTCCGAATGTCCGAAGAAAAACGGGATAGAGAGAGTAAGAAAGTGGCCGAGAGGGTCGTTTCTACGAAACGCGGTGACGTCTTTAAGAACGAAGTGGCCGCAGATAATATTCGGTAATGTATCCCCCAGAGAAACAATAACGTTCTAACGACGCACCGTGAAATCGTGGGACAGTTCAAGGCATCTTACGAGAGCTTTTTGCAAGAAGAATATTATTGTCGCCAGTGGTTGATTAACAGGAAGAAAAGTTATTAGACGACTTTGAACTGGCTGGGGTGGTTTAACTTAACAGCTTATTCCAACGTTTCGATCGTCCGGATTGTGGTCCTTTTCAAGGAAATATCCACAATGTTTTATACAATATTTTATATTTTATTGCAGTGAATATTAGTACTTTTCGTTGTAGTACATTAACGAGAAAAACTCACAAAATTCCTCGAAGTGCGACGTTGTCCCACGACCACCATGACTTTTCAGGGTAAATACTAAGAGAAAATTCCCACCGTGCATTCATAACGACGACGCAAATTCATCTTTATACATGAAATGATAATAAGAAGATGATTATTTCGTTAACATTTCAGCAAGGAGACGAATTTGCTCGAAAGCCTGTCGCGATGGTCGTGGCCGCAGAGATACGAGCACCTGACCGGGCGATTTTTTAGCCAGGTACTTTAAAAACTCCGCCGGCTGGCGAGAGTCGCGCAGAGAGCGAGCGAGAGAGAGAGAGAAAAAAGAAAGAGTACACGAGCCGCAGACGAATTTCAATGTGCCCGGTGGTGTCACTGACCGTAGGTGCTGGCGGAGGAATGCAGAAAAGCGGGACTTCCGGCGAACACTTTCGAGCGTGACCCGCCGGAAGACGCGGCCGAACGTTCGCCGATTCCTTTGAAAGCGTCACCGGCCTTCCCCAGGACGACATCCGCCCAGATCGGCCATCGCTCATCCCGCGCGGAGCACAGCCTGGAATTCGCGGGTCGTCTCTACGTCTCGCCGAGGTGGACGATCGACCCCCCCGCGGACGCCACGCAATTGCGCGCGACGCAGCAGAAATTTATCTTCCTCGGTTGAGAGAAATCTTGACCGACCTTTCGAAGAAACGGCGCACCAGTTCAAGTAGCGCAATAGTAGAGTTTCTATGTCGAACGAGCGAGAGGATAGAAAAGTAATCCGCGTCGTCACAATTTGATTATCCCGCCAATATTTAGCAGGGTTTCTTAATACGCTTTTTGTATGCCAGACAGACGTCCTTACGTTTTTCAGTCTTTCGTGCCAAATGTCGGCGACGAAAGTAGCTTCTGCGCGAAACTTTTCTTGGATTGTATTTGGAGTTTCGTTTTTTTATTATTATCCCGGTAATATTTAGCAGGGTTTCTTAATACGCTTTTTGTGTGCCAGACAGACGCCCTTACGTTTTTCAGTCTCTCGTGTCAAGTATCGCCGACAAAAGTAGTTTCTGCGAGAAACTTTTCTTGGATTGTATTCAGATAGTTTAAGATAGGTCAATTATATCGTCGATTTAATTATATCATTACGAGTACTAAAAGTCGCCGGCCTTGCGTGAATTTTCGTGGTCGTCGGGTGACGAGATTAATTCAGGACTGCAGATATTGTCGGTCAGTTTTTGGTGGGAAAATTTCATAGAAATACGTAACACGGTATTCCGTAAGGCTGGTTCTACGTAAGTCGCACGCCGCAAGGAATCGGCCAATGACGGTCGATTATTCTTTTCGATATTCGGCTGCGATTGGTCGAGTTCTTGCGACTTGCCGTATCTATTGTAGAACCTGCGAAAATATTCGCACATTTATGCAACTACAAAGCATTGAAATTGTATAAAATATTAAAATAAAACAATGCGATTATAAATATTAACGAATTGCGAGAAGTAGTCGGCTAATTTATAAACGCATGTACGCGATAATATTCACGGAGAGAGCTTTCGCTTAGAATTTACCCTGAAACTCACGGTAGTCGTGAGACAACGTGGCATTTCAAAGAACTTTATGAGAGTTTTTCTGATTAATGTCTACTGCAATGAAAAACATTGATTTCTATAAAATACGTTTAGTTATTTTTACTAAAATACATAGTAAAATTTAAAAAAACTCTCATAAAATTCTTCGAAATATTATGTCGTCCCGCAACTACCGTGATTTTCAGAGCAAAGCCAACGACACACGATACTACTTTTCCTACTAGATTTCTTACGAGAGCCAATCAGGGTTTAGCCTTCTCACCCGATCTAAATCTCTGCCTCCTCATTGGTTCTCGTGAGCAATCCAGTAGGAAAAATAGTATCGTGCGGCATTGGCTTAAATTCTAAAAGAAAATTCTCTCCGTGTACTTCATGATACTCGTATAAGATTTGCATTTTAAAGGAAATAGCGTACAAACGTGATTTTGATCAATTGTGGTGTCAATCACCGCGGCGATAGATAAAGGCAATTAAATAAATTCGGACGAACGTCCGATGTTTCGTAGAAGCGACAATTTCTCGCGCACAAAATTCATCCCCCGCTAACCATGGGAAATGTATTTTGAACGCAATTCTGATATCACTGCGACTCTCGACGTATCGAAAAGTCGAAGCGTCGACAAAATGGCCGCGGTTGTACACAACTTCGCGGGGAAGCGAAGTTGAAAATATTTCCGACACTAGCAATGGCTCGAGTCATTAAAAAAAATTACGCAATTAAATATGAAACGAAAATGCGCACGTACCTGGCAATAATTATGCGCGGCTCGATGCGCGTCGGTAAAACACGTAGGGTGGACATGCCCGATGAACTCCGTGCGCGGGCGAATCGTCGGCGTCGAAATCGCGCAGTTACGGCTTCTTCGCCCACTCGACGCGTCACGACGACGGAGGTGTCCGTACCTCGCGGTAATTATTATTCGCGCGCACTTTCGGACGATAAAGATCGCGGAAGAAAACGCGACGCGAATTCGAACGCGCGATTCTCGACGATCGCGGCGGCGCGTTTCTCAACGACAACTATCCGAGAGCCATCTCGCGGATCTTGGGGCAACGACCGATCGAAGCGGCGACAACATGGCGTAGTTATTTGGCGGAGGGGCGAAATTCGAGATGTCGGCAGACGCTGAAAGTGCCGCCTAAAAAGAGCGAACTATCGCGAGAATATTATCAACGCGGTTGATTGCGGGACGAAAATATGCGCGTAATGCGCCTGCAGTCGTTTCGACGCGCATACCTCGATGAAACGCGAGGGAGGGGGGGGGGGATGCGCGATGAATTGAACACCGAGCCGATCGACGAATTCGCGCGACGCTCGACGCAGCTCGACGGAAAGTCTTCGCGAAGCTTTACGGGAAGCACGCGCGATGACGGCGCGGGCACGCGGTACGCACCTTCCGGCGACAAAGAGCG